ACTTTAAAAACCTCATTTTCTTCCCCCCCCCCCCCCCGCTAATCTTGGAGACTAGTAAACTTCACACATGAGCTTCTCAATAATTCAGGAATGTTTAATTATTTTAAGATTTATTAGGAAAACAATGACACTTTTTTAGCATTGTGTCACCTTTCTTCAGTCACTGAATTAATTAGTCCCATGCACAAATGTCCTTTAGCTGTGATCTCGTTTACTTGTATCATCTCATTTCCTTCAGCTGTTTGTCTGCACGGGTATCCTGCTTACTAAAAGATGCTTATGAATAAAGAACTGGGGTGGTAAAGTGGCCATGCTGGCCTGTATTTTTGTCTCAAAATTTTTATTTGTAGTGTTGAGACTCTAGAAAGTTCTTTTAAGAATGCTTCTCTTGGCACTTTGCTGACATTCATGCATGTACAGTGGTCAAAATCTGACACAAAGGACTTGCAAGGAACAAAATTGTAGATTCAGTGTATGTCTCCGTGAGTAAACCGTGCTCCTGTTATTTGTAATGAAAGATGAACAATCAAACTTGCCTTTTGTCAGTGATTGGCACAAACTTGACTCGTTATTCTGACAAGAACTCAGCATGTCAGTCAATGGGAAGAGATGTATGGAAGTTGATTGAAATTGATTGTAAATGCCAGCTCCTTGACAGAGTGATGTGCTAGTGCCACAGTCAGTCACTTTTGGGCAGATAGTAGTAATTGCTGAGGCTTTCTGAAGAGCTGCACTGCAGGTGCTAATTTCTCTGTGCTTTTCTTATTTAGCTCTGATAGAATCATCAGTTGTAATTTGCTGTCTCCAGAGATTATTGAATGGCTGGATTATTGAACAGTTTCCTGGCTTAGCTGAGGGTTAACGAACAAAGTAGCTCTAGAGTCTGATAAGTTAAGAGTTTAAAAAATGAGGCAGTTCTGTTTTGATCCCTGTCCTCTTGTGTTAGCCTTCCAACTAATATTTGACAGAAGACTATAATTTTGTTGAAAATCTCATCATTTTTCTGAATTGTGCATTAACTTGCTTTCTGGTGTGTCCATTCTTTTGTTAAAAGCAGCCATGTCAGGAGAATAGACAGAAAGAGAGAGGATACTTCTCTAATTCATCTTTTCCCAAAAAACAGTGAGTGGGGTTCCTAATTTAGACCAAGCTTCCTGGTTTGAAGCTTTCTTCATAAGTGAGATCACAAGTCAGGCATAAAAACTAGGACAGCTTTGGAGAAATGAAGAAAACTAGGATACCAAAAGGAAGAAGCCTGTTTTGTTTGGTCTGTTTTTACTGCATTCTTGACAATGAAAAGTGAGTTTGTCTGAAAACTTTGCTGCCTTTTTGTGTAAGCAATTAGTGTTTTCAACAGTGTAAGTTTAAAAAAAAGTCCTTAGAAGCAAACATATGTCTGAAAATTTATGGAGATTGATCTAGCAGTCCTTTATGATTAGAATTTGGAAATCAAACTGGCTATGACAGTTGTTGCTGTGGAATATTTTTACTGGTATCACCCATAAGTAGTACACACATGCACCTCTAAGTGCTTGGTTCCTTTACCTTGGTATTCAGGAGACAAAATGAGGTAAAACAGTTACTATACAGTCTGTGACTTCTTATTTTTGAGAACCAAGTGCTTGGAACACTTCCACTTTCACTGTGTATGTGCCTTGACTCAGGAAAATTTAAAGGCTTTGTTCAATTGCCACAAGGGATTTATACCTTTTAGCTGTCCTTTCAGTGTCATAGGTCAGGCTGTTACTGTCAAGTGCAGAGGGAGCTGAATCACCACAACAACACGTTATTTTATCAATGTTTAGTATCGATCTTGCTACTAACACAGAATGCCTGTGTGATAGATACCTGATTTGTGCAAGATAATAGTACCACTGTTCTGTTTAATTAATGGATTTACTGTCCTCCTATGGAGTTGAAGTTTAGACATGTAGTTCCAAGAGGACTGTGATAGTTAAGGTAATACCTGGCTGAGCTGTTTCCTACTGTAACCTTGCTGGAGGCTCCCTTCTTCATGGTGTCAGTGGTCCTAAATTAAGCTGGTTGTCTTTGCCTTGAAATGAATGAGGAAAATTCACATGGTCTACTCTGTTGGTTCAGCTGGTTATCTTTAGCAGAAGGGTCAAATTTTCAGACTCTTTTTTAGTGGGAGCTTTCAGTTCCATGGGAAATCTGTTTTTTTCATGTGTGCTTCAGGAAACTTTTTCTGGAATAGATTTTTACACTTTGTTGATTGAGTAGAGTAATTCTCTGCATCAAATCCATTTTTGCAGGGTTTCAGCAAGTTGAAGAGTTCACCTTTGTGCCCACAAAAAATCTGAAGGTTTAATTGAAATTTATTCTTATATAATTCTCTTGAACAGTACACTAATAAATGTCTCTAGTTCTTGAGCTGAGTTCCGAATATCTCTAATAACACAAATACTGTAACTAATCTACAGAATGTCTGCCATGAAAATATTTTCTATCGAATGCTAATAAATTTGGTCCAGGACATAATGATGTGTGATCTTATTCCTTCTCTTTTGTTTGGGTAAAACTGTTACTTGCTCTTAAAATGAATTTATTGTTAACTATGTTATTTGTAGTCATGTATAACTTCTGATGAAAGCAAAATGCATCATATTCTTAATGTATCCATTTTTTTCAGTGTATTTGAACACCAATTTTACTTTTTTTGTTATAATTTGCATTTGTTTAGTATTTAAATACTGATTTATTTTTCTCTCTCCTCCTTTCAAATTCTAGCCAAGTGTATCTATGGAGGCAAAGTGCTGGCAGAAGGTCAACGAGTATTAACCAAGAGCTGCAGGGAATGTCGAGTAAGTTGCAGTTGTATAAACTTTTCCTGATTTTAAATGTATGTGTGGTGTTCAAAAGTGACAATGATAAGTTAGTGCATTTCTTTAGGCTTCCTTAATGCAAATGTGGCATCTGTTGTCTTCAAAAGGTGACCCTGAAGTCAGTGAAAGCCACAAAGATGAAAACAAGGTGGGAATCTGACACTTTGTAGGGTAACAAACACACGGCCAAAATGACTTCAGGGGATGTTTTGTCTTTTCTCTCCTGCTTTCACAAGCTCTAGAAAAGGGCAGCAGCATCTTTAGCCAGTTACTAATTTCAGCCAGATCACTGAAGTTTGAAGCCACCTGGCTTATATTGTTGGAGTTACTCTAGACCTACTGGTAAACTATATGTAGCCCTGCTAAGAGTTGAGGAAAATGGCCAGGTATTATACTAAACTTTGCTCTTTCTTGGCAAGTTCCTAACACTTAGTTAACTACAGCCAGGACCTTGGTGAAATAGGAGCACTACATGTTGTCTAAGTGTGGCAGAAACCAGTTGTTGTCAAGACTAGCCTAAGAAGAAGAGAGGAGTAGTCAAGGATTATAAAAGGCCTGTTGCTCTGCTGAGGCGTATTTTGGTGTGTGTGTGTATTTTACAAATGATATATCACTCCAGAAAGGCACAGCCATTTGAAACACATTTGCTCTCACACGTAATTTTCAACTATTTTTGTTTTAATATCTTGTTGAAATTGTAGAGGGGGAAGGGTGACAAAGAGGAGCCTTGCAAATGTTACTGACAGATCCATATGCTAGAACAATTATGAAAAACATTTGGAAAAGATTACAGTGATCTGGTTATTGTTGTGCTTGTAGCTGAGTGTCCAGGGTAGCAATTTTATGTTCACTAATGGAAATAGACAATAACTGGTTGCAGGTGTTGTGGAAGCAGCTTGTTATGCAGAATTCCATTGCTGCAGTTAGTGCTTAGTTGTATAGGGGTGGTCATCATTGTATATACAAATATGTGGGCAAGGTTTTTTGCCTTGAAGACAGACTAAGGTGCCTGTAATTTATAATATGACCTAAAATGTTTATTTGGGAGGGAAAGTGCCTATATGAAATAAGATGAGAGCGGGAGGTTTTTCACATTAAAGTGAGATCAGAGTGAGTGATCTGAATTATGTCAGTGGAACTTCTCTGTGCTAGAAATGTGTTACATTCGTTGTTATGAGTATGATAATGTATTCATGAGAATGAAAAGCAGACACTGACCATCAAATACTTGTCATATTAGAAATGACTAATGATGAAAAGAGCTTTTGCATTTTACTTATTGTTGAGGGAAATTGACATGGCAATGCTGGTTGCAGTAATGTTGCAGTTGGTGTTATTTACATCTTCGTAGGGAGTGTTGGGAAGTATCTGAAACAGCAGATGTGAATGCAATACTGTGGAAAAAAATGAGTCTGTTGGGGGTGAGAATGGGATGGGGAAGGTATTTCCACAGCTCTGCTTCAAGAAGGCATTAAATCTCACTGACAAAGCTTGTAGTTCTGACTTGGGAGAGTTTTTAAGTGGGTGCTTATCTCTGCTTCTCTGTGAAGTGCATTGAATGTGTCTTCAGCATGAGCTCTTAAAAGCTGTAAGCAACCCCCTGTTTATTTACTGCCTCAATTAGGAATGTTTATTAGATGAAGCATGAATGGTAATGAGTCAAACTATAGCTGTACCCATCAGTTTCTACCCTGTGTGGGCCTGCTGGTGGACAAGATGCTGGATGGGTAAAGGAAGGCTTTGTGCTAAGGGAATGACTATAAAACCTTTAATATAGTTTAATTTTCCAAACTTGGAAAACAGATACCAAGTTTGAAAAGCTGTTGATCCAGGAAGGAATACAGTAGGGGGTACACATCAACTGTCAATTTATTAGTATTGATTAAGAAGACTTAAAAATCTTGGGGAGTAGGTCTTTTGTTTGTAAAGGAGACTGTAGTTGTAAGCAGGGTAATATCAGAAAGATAAAGTTAAAACTTCCCATTTCAATTTTAATTTGAAGATAGTAATTTTATTATTTGCACAGGCGCTGATCCACGGGTAAGAGGTTTTTAACTCTTACATTTTTTTTCCATCTAACAAAAGTAATAATAATACTAATGCATCCAGGTAGGTAAAAATATTTTTTATTTTTTTTTCAGGCTGTGAGCAGTTTGTGTTTTTTATTTTCTAAAAACTAATCCAGACTAAAAGTGGATTTATAATGCACATCTTCTTAACTATAAGCACAAATGTTACTGATGGACAGCCATTCCCAGCTGGAATCCTGCCCACGAGCACTCTGTAGGTTAATCCCCAATGACAAAATGATAAAATTAGTGCACAAGTGTTTGTAAGAATCCCAGAATGCTTCAGGTTGGAAGGAACCTCTGGAGGTCATCTTGTCCAACTCCCCTGCTTGAAGCAGGGCCACCTAGAGCAAGTTGCACAGGACCATGTCCAGATGGCTTTTGAATACCTCCAAGGATGGAGACTCCACAGCCACCCTGAACAAGTTGTGCCAGTGCTCAGTCACCCTTACTGTGAAAAAATGGTTCAGAGGGAACCTTCTGTGTTTCACTTTGTGCCCATTGCCTCTTGTCCTGTCACTGGGCACCACTGTTTTCAGTGGTGAGCCCAGCTTCATCCTCTTTGTACTTTCCCTCTGGGTATTAATATGCATTGGTAAGATGCCCCCTGAGCCTTCTCTTCTCTGGGCTGAACAGTCCCAGCTCTCTCAGCCTTTCCTCCTGTGGTAGATGCTCCAGTCCCTTGCTTACCCTTGTAGACCATGCCTGGTCTCTGCCCAATTGTTCTATGTCTTTCTTGTGCTGGGGAGACCTGAACTGGACCCAGCACTCCAGGTGTGGCCTCACCAGTGCTGAACAGAGAAGGATCTCCTTCCTTGACCTGCTGGCAATACTTTGCCCAATGCAGCCCAAGTTACCCTTCACCTTTTGTGCTGCAAAGGTACATGACTGCCTCATGATCAACTTGGAGTCTGTCAGGACCCCCAGGTCCTTTTCTGCAAAGCTACTTTCTAGCAGGGTGACCCTAACATGCACTGGTGCATGGGATTGTTCCTCCCCAGACGCAAGACTTTGCAGTTCTCCTTGTTAAACTTCTTGAGATACCTGTGGGTCCATTTCTCCAGCATGTTGAGGTCCTTCTAAAAAACGCAAGTGTATTTGTGCTTGAGAAAACTGCAGCCTTCTGCATTCCAGAAGTGGTGATTTTGGCTGGAGGATTTCACCAATATGGTGATGTGGCTCATTTGAACTCAGTGGGAAGAGTTCTGTAAGTTTTGCTGGTGATCAGCCAACTTCTGGGTTAATACTCATGAATAACATGATGCCTCTTCCATTGTCCGTAACTGGACAATGTGTTTGACAGCAAAGGGCACAAGAATAAATTCCTGTCCATGCATGCTGGGAGAGGGCAGTCAGAGGGTGCCATACAAATACTAGAAAGATGGGCAGGACTTCTCTGACTTTCAGGAATCTTGACTAAAAAGTTTTGCATAGAGTGACAGCTAAGGATGGTGTTTAGAACTTTCTCCTGGCAGGCTGATGAAAACCAGCTAAAACGAGAGGTAAAAAAAACAACACCTCAAACCACAACAAACCCCCAAAATTGCCATATCTGAAATCTTGTTATTATTTCCAAAGCTGATCATCTGAGATGAGTTGTTTCTGGTTCAAATTTTTACTGCATGGCACTGCTTAGACTTATAGCCAATTCTTTTTTATGTACTTACCTTTGTAATGACAATGAATTTAATTATCTTGTTGTAAATGTTTGGCTCCAGATCTCATTCTGTGTGCATTGCATGTCACAGTTGGATCTTGACATATTTAGTCCAGAATAATGTGTATTTTTGACATGTACTTCTGTCCAAATTCTATGTCTACATATGTGACTTGAGTATAAAAAGTCATTTTTCTAAGGCTGCCTCAAGCAATAATTCTGAAGTGTGAACTATTCTTATCTCAGTAGATAAAATCTGAAATTTAATTATGATAATTCTTATAATTGCATTTGCACTAGTTTATGACAAGTTGATTTCAATTAAAAAAATACTCAACATGGAAACATTTTAATAGTTTTAAAACTTAATTACAAATATGTTTTATTTTATTTTTTTTTCCTCCCAATATGCAAATTCTGCAGAAAATGGAAAACTTCAGGGAAATAAAATCTTACTGTCATTAAATTAGTGGAATTCTCAATTTGTGGTTCTCCTTATGATTCACTAAAGAAGGTGGGGGCTTGGATGGAATTTGTCTTTAGCTTTTTGACTCATCCTGATCACTGATTGGACTTTTTTACAATTTCCTGGCTTTGAGCCATCTTTTTGACCAGACTTATTTTCAGTCAATGCTTTTCATCCCACTGTTGACACACTGCACTGTTCCTGCTGCAGTTGTCTTGTCTGAGCTTGGATAGGTGATGAGTTATAGTCAGAGCTTTTCCAGCTGGTAGTAAATGATGGCTCAGTGTGTCTGGTTCTTTTATCACCTTTGCTGCTGCTGCTGCACAGGCAACCAAGAGGATTCCTCCCTTTTACTTAGAGAAGTGAGATCTGAGAGAGGCCTAATATCTCCATTAACTTCACTGTCCTTGTGTGGGCACTTGTTTCAGTGATGCATGCTGGATGTGATACTGTAGGGAGCTGCTTTTTTTTTTTAAAAAAAAGTAAAAATAAAAAAAAATCCTGCCAGTAGGATTTTTTGATAATATTTTTCATTACAGCAACTGATACAACCTGCCAGTGAAGATAGTCAGGAAGGGAGAAGAACAGCTTCGTCTTGCTTAGCTTTAAGATTGCTTAAGGTTCCTAATTCTGGACCCTGAAGTGACACAGCTGAATCTGTGGCATGGCTGGTCATGCTAAATACCAGCCAGGAGTTGTACTGGTTTTGGCACCTGAGCTAGTCTTTTGGCATGGTGTAGCATAGTAGTGTCTTGTAGATAAGAAAACAAGCTTCTGGCTAGCAAAAGGGTCTCTGTATAGGGGTGTCGCTTCATACAGTGCAGATAAATAGGCTTTTAATAACATTGTCTTCTTTTGGCATTAGTTTTTTTTTGCTTTCTTAGCCCTAGATGTGTTTGGATCACATTTTTAACCTTTTCTCTGCAACAATGGTAGCTAGAAAATGTAATTTATTTCTTTGAAGAAAGCAAAAAATTCTCAGTCCATCTTTTTGTTCTACCACCTGAGGCATCACGATGACTATTTTGGGAGGAGTAGGGACTAGGTTCATACTGACAAGGGGTACTGGCAGTATAGCAGGCTGCCTCCTTTCTTAGTGGAGTTTCACAGCCTGTTGGACAGTGTGATTACTCAGGTGTGGACACACCTGTGGGATAGTTATTGTTGCTCCTATTGAGCAAAAATCCTGGTTGTTGCAGAGCTGCAGGTAGGAGGCTGAAGAAGTAAGTTATGGTATGGGGAAGGCTGGAGGGGAGTAAGGAAAAAGAGGAATTTATTTTGGGGCAAGATGTTAAGAAACAACTAGCTGAAGAGCAGGACAGTTGTTTGATCTGGAAAGAGGATGAAGCTGATTTCCTTGGTGTAAAGAAGATGGAGTAAAAATTGGTGTAAAATCTCCTCAGAAAGCCTGCCTCTGTTATTTTAGAAAAATTCTGTCAGCAACTAGACCTCCTTATGCACAGTCTAAATCTAGTAGAGATAAAAATCATAGAAGTGTCTTGACCTTGAGTTACATTTTCTACAGCTATTTCAATATGTATAGCTCAGATGGGATATCTGCTTTGCCATGCCTTTGAAGGACCTGCTTTTTGGAAATTAGGTGATCAGTAATTTTAAGGAGCAGGCACTTTTGAACACAACAGAACAACACATGACACTTGCAAATGTTGGTCTTGTACCTGCTGTGTTTGTTTGTGTTGAATAACATGAATAACTTGTGTAGAATATGAAATAAGAGGAGTAAAACTCAGACTTGCATGAAGCAAGAAGACTGTCTTGAACAAAAACGTAGAGTGAAATCCTTCAAATACTTGGAAGGAAAACAACTGTTCTTGGAGACAACATATTTGAGAAAACTGCTATAGAATTTTGAGCCTAAGTGACTTCCCCCCCCCCTTTTGTTTTCTTCCAATTCTGGACATAGAAATATCCAAGTAGATTAATTTCAATGTTATGATGTAAAGAATTAATTAAGTTGCAGCTAGCTACTTTACTGGTGTTACCAGAGATTACCAGTTATAGAATGAAAATGATGAGATCCTTGCCACTGCACGTGTTTTCATCAATGTTATTTTCTAAAATGTTTATTTTCAGAATGGAGTTTTAGTAAAAGTAACAGAGACTTGTCCACCATTGAACTGCTCAGAAAAAGATCACGTTCTTCCAGAGAACCAGTGTTGCAGTGTTTGCAGAGGTAAGCCAGGGGCTGTGCATGCTTGGAAGGAATGTCAGTTGCTGATTTTAATGGGAGAATACACTGGGAGAAGCAATTCCCTTTTAATGAGGTACTGGGTACCTCTGTAAACCTGAGTCTAAAATTAGTCTTCAAGGAAAACCAGTCTGTGATTTTTTTGGGGGTAAAAGACTTAGCAGTTACAAAGCTGTAATTGCTCTGAATTAGAGAGGGGGAGAGAGAACAGAAATAATTGGGGGGAGAGAGGGTGCAGTATCTCTTAAGGACAAAGTTATGTTTGAAAAAGAGATACTGCTTAAACTTGAGGCTGTGCTAAGCATGCAGGGTTTTGGAAATGGGTTTTAAACTATTTAAAAATCATCATAATAATGTTAACATTCCAGTATTTTAAATTTTAGATCTGAGGTCTCTCAGAACTTGTTAATTAAGCTGGACACTTACAGGAACCAAAAAAACCCAACAACTCTACAGCACGGGTACCTGTTCTCCATCCTTGCAGTGGGGTGGTGAGATGCAGGTTCCTCTTGCTTGTTCCCTTTCAGCCCCGGTGAATCCTAGTTCAATGCTCAACCAGGCTGAACGAGGCACAGCTGAAATGATAGGTGAGAAAATCCCCTTAAATGAGAAAAAACAGGTATCACAAGGCTGGGGAACTCAAACAAGCTTTCTTCTTCAAGTGTGTTGTAATCTGTGAGCTAGGGAGTGAAAGGTGTTAGAACCATTGCTCCCTGTGTATGTCTGTATCCTACCTCCCTTGATGCTGAGTCTCAGCTGAGCTTCAGGGGGGCTTGTAGCAGGTTTCTTGGAGGAAGACTTGCATGTCAGCCTTTAGTGATGCACCTCAGGAATTTCAAGCAAGACATGTCCCACATGAGCCTTAGACTTTTCCAGGCTCAGATGGTTACTAGTGCCCACTGGACTACTTGTCTTGCCTGTATGTGAATTTCTCTGGTGTCATCGTAGATGTTGATGAAGGGGCTCTGAAACTTTCCCTTAGCCAGTAAATTTTAATAAATAAATATGCACAGTTAAATATTTATGAAGGCCTTGAACTTGAGAGCATATGCATGTGGTTGTAGGGGCTGGCATGTTTGAGACTTCTTGCTGGATCATGTTCTAAGAATATACACATTAATTTTTAAAGCAGTTTCCAGAAACATCTGTAACTATTTAAGCAACCAGTAAATGTTGCTTCTTTGTCCCTGGGAGAGCTCGATGTCTTAATGATACTTCTTAACAGATGGCCCAGTTTGATGTAGTGCAGTGCTGAAAAATTGTCTTCATTACTGAAAAAAAAATGTCTTCGTTGCATAAAAGTGGCAGAAATCTGACAGCTTCAAAGTTGATGGAAAACAAGTTCTGTAATTATTTGGTTTTATATTATTGTTAATGATAGGTACTCTTTTTAGATGTTCATCCCCAAACTGGTTTTATTATTTATAAAATAGCATGAATATATATACTTAGGTGATGTTCTCTAGAAGCGTAAGAAAGAATTATGCTTTTACTTATGAATTCTGATAGATGGTGCTTCAAATTGATACATTAAACTTCCACTTGAGTTCTACTTCAGCTGACTGTTAAAACAGTCTCATCCGCTTTTGTATTTCATCTTTTATTTTTAAAATGCTTTTGAAAATTATCCTGAAAAATGGGAATAACTTTGTCAACTTTACAAAGGCATAAGTTGAAGTTAGCACTCCTAAATTGCTTTTTATGTCTTAAAGGAGATTATATGCTGCTTGACACTTCTGCTTCAGTAGCATGCACCTCGTAGTATATAATTTTATCATATGATGAGTACTGGTGTTAAAAATGGGTATCTATTAAGAATTGGTGTGAGTTTTCTCATGCAAACAGCTGCCCTCTGATACAGTAAGCAGGGCATATTTTCTGGTCCTGGTGTGTGCCAACATGTCCTTTACTGGGAAATGATAGAGTGTTTCTCTGTTTTGAAATAACAACCTCTCCCAGAGACTATATTTGACTTTTATTGTCCTACGAAAAGCAGTGAGGAAAAATACTGTAGTAAACATAGTCCTGAGTAATCAGAGAGTTCATTGGAAACCCATATGAATCATTTGCACCTCATGTGCAAATTTCACATTATATGTATGATGGTACAGATGAATCTTTGCATCAGCCCTTAGCTAAGCCTTTTACTACTAATCTTAAATGAGAATAATAACTCGATGTAAAGTTGGTCAGCGCAAACGAGTGACTGCTGGGTTCTGGTTTTGTATCAGCTTGTGCAGTCCTTAGTATCTAGTTGTGGAAATGGAAAACTTCTACAAGATTTCATGGTCTATAGAATCACAGGATACCTTTGCTTTAACTGGGCAAAGGTAGGAGGTTTGCAGCTTGTGCTTTTCTAGCTGCAGCAAAGGGATTTCCATTGAACAGAAGGATAAACGTGAGGGATCAACAGAAGGAAAAATCCCACACAGAAATTTGGAAACTTCATAATGCTGTGGTATGAGATTTTCCCTCTTCAGTGCAATATCTAACAAAATAAGAGATAAGTGCCTAAAATGAAGTAGGGTATGCAAGGGGGGAAAAAAAAAACAACACAACAAAAAACTGTGATATTTGTGCTGATAGAAATTATGAGTCAGCAAAGGACTGAGTTGAATACTGTAATACACATGGCTTGTGGGCTTCCTAGATGGTCATTACTGTTTGTAAATGGTTAGAAAAATAAAGACAGCAAGTCATACCTGTTCTTCTTTAGGTCTGCTACATGAGGTTATAGTACAGCAAAAGGTAATATTTTGGTAAAAGCCTAGTTCTAGGATTCAGTAAAATGCTTGTAAAAGGAGTACAGCAGGATGGGGGTAGTACGGAAAAACTCCTGTACAGTGACTGTTTTTGTGTTTTGTTGCACCTGCATGCAAAAATGTGCCTCATCAGATCTGTAGATGTGATCTATCCTTGAATGTTACGTAGAGTATACCTAATTTTTCCTTACATCTGTCTGCTTTAATATAAATGTCTGCTTAAATGATGTACTACTTCATAATTTTCAGCAGGGCAAAGTGGTATTATTAAGCTCTCTTTTAGGCTTACAGAAATTTTAGTTAATTTTAAAATTTCACAAAGAATCACTGGGTAGTAAAATACATTTTTTTACTGTTTTTTGGAGAATCACTCATTTTTCTTACAGCATTCTTGCTTCATGTTTTATAGCTCAGGGACAAATCGAATGCAAAAAAAATAGTGTTATAAAATTGTTTTATTGTTCCCTTTAGCTGTTTTTCTCCTTGCCAAAGACAGTGTATAATTTTGCAAGAGTGGATTTTTTTCTCTCTTGAATGAGTGATTCGAATAAAGTTTCATGAGAGAATTTTTATGTTGTTATGCTCACAATTGTAGTGTGCAAGAATAACCTTAAGAGCCCTAGCAGCTTCAGCCATGCTTCTCTCCTTCAAAGAAGGAGTGTGAGGAAATAAGGAGGTAGTAAGAGCTGTTGGGTTTCTGGAGAAAGCAACTTTTATTTCCTGTCCTGTAATATGGTTTGGGTGATGAATTTAGATTGACTGCGATGCTGGTTAGCAGGAAGTGGTGAATCCTACTGATGAACTGGTGTGCCTTTTACAGTGGGAAACAGCATCTAAATCTAAAAAATGGGGCTTCTGCTGCCCTTACTTGTATTGCTTTAAGGTTTTGATTCTTTCAATGACAGGATGAGAAGGCTCTTCAGTTAGCATGTTTCTCATCTCTCCCTGTCTAGATGTGAAACTGAATGTACTTCTTCAGAAACTGGATGTTTCTCTTGCATTGCTGTGAGTGAAGAGTTATTTTGAGGTGTTAGTTTTATTAAGATTTAGTGGAGGTTGATAAATATGAATTAGGTTATTTCTAAACATAGTAATAACATTACTTAGGATCTAGGAGGGGTTTCTATCAGAAATTTCAGAAGCTTGTTAGGCTGTGCATTCTAATGCACACAAAGTGGTGTGTTCTGAGGTCTGCATTGGTGTAGCAGCTTGAAAGAATTTGTGAAGTTAGTGTTTTATATCAGAACACTGAGTTCTGGGACCACAGTCAGTGAAGGTGTGAAAACTGCTGTTCCAAGTGCTTCGTTGCTCAGGACTCATTAAAAGCTGATTTGGATCATGAAAGGGCATAATCACTAGTGCAAATTTTATCTCTCTTCCTGATTTTTACCCTGGATTTACTCAGTGCATTTATATAATAACTGTGGGGTTAAATCATAACAATAATCAAGACTTGTATTTTGAAATGACCTTTGACCTTCTGGAAATTGCTAATGCTATTAATAGCAGCATTATCAACATTCATTTTGGAAGCCTCTGAAATGGTAACACTGAAATGTAGGTTTCTGAAAGGTACCTTCTTGAACAGCAAGAGAACAGGAGTTGTACAGTTTATATGTGACTAGTTAGGGATATTGTAAGAAGTACAGAAAGCAATAGAGATGTTATAAGGAAACCCTCAGAAAAATGGGAGGCATGTTAGTGTTGCCCATAAAGAAGCAGGAAGAGAGATGAGTGAGATACATTGATTCCAGCTCTGTGGTCTTCAACCAGTTCTTGTGTTCTTCAATCAGTAACTAAGCCAAATTGCCAAACATGTTAGGAGCTTAAAAAACTGGGTAACAGCATAAAGCAGCCTAGCATGCTGCTCTGGAAAAGTAGATTCTGGGAATTGGACCCTGAAGGTGTTCAGAAGCTTGGAAAAATAAGAGCAATGTTCAGGTGTCCCAAAATGGAAGAAATGTTTAATTTCAGATCATCTGACTTGGGACCACTAAGCCCTAGCCAGTTGGGCAGTTTCTGATGCTGAAGGAGTGATTGTTTTATGTCTGTTAGCATAAAATCCAATGTTTTTTTGTAGTTGTTTTTGCATATTTATTGGTGGCTCTTCTACAGTCAGAAGAAAGAAAGAAGTAGAAAGATAAAAAATATGTTCTTAAGAAAAAATGGACCAAACATTTCAGCACCCTTGATAAGGAAGAGAGTAATCTTATCACATGTTTG